TGTTTTAAAAATAAATCTAAAACAGTTCTCAATCCCTCCTTAAAACTGTTCTAAAATTCAAGCTTAAACGTCATAAGCAATTTTTAATTAATGACTAGATAAAATACTTTATAAACGTGTTCTATCATTATAAAACCAACCATAAAACCATTTGGTTTTGCAGTAGAGCAAAAAGCATTAATTGTTGCTTTTTACGCTTTTTAAAGTGCATTATAAACTTCCCAATTACTCTGTTCACAAATTGAGCTTAAAAGATTGTTTCTCATAGTTAATAAAAGCCAAATTTATGACAAGGAAATCTCGATAGACGAAGTAGGATAAAAAATTCAAACCGATTTCAGCAAAATTTACTTCTTTTCAAGAACCAGCACAGCATCATCAACTGACCATCTGGCGGAGAAGAGTAAATTGAGCATGGCCCTCGAATTCATAAAACATTGTCGAGAGTTTAAGAGCATACCAGCCTTCTCCAGAACTTGCGAATATATGACAATCGAAATAACAACCGACAGCAAACCACTGAAACTGTTAGTTTGCGGAGATTAGCTGGTTTCCGATCCATAGCAGCGATATTATTCGACGAAAAAATCAACTCAAAATTTTATTCAACCGTACATTCCTGAATCGTTTGACGGTGCACTTCCAGAACCATCCGAAAGAAGGGGATCTTTTCGGGAACGATTGTGTTTCCAGCTGTTCGAAATGCGTATCGCAAACTATCTGAGTAACTGCTCACAATCCATCAGGAGGAATCCGCCTAGAAGAACCGTGGATCCCACAGCGCAACTATCGAAAGATAAACAAACTTTGACGTTTAACTTTTTGCAGGCAACTTTCCCCTTCATAAATGCTGCCATAAATCGAGTTAGGATCAAGCAAAATGGCTTTAGATAAATACAATTCAGCCAGCAAGTTTTCTTCATTACAGCCATTTTAAAACCTTATGAATTTGTTAACGATTTCTTGAAAGCAAAACAACTTTTTCACAAATTACCCATGGAAATCAATTTTTATGCCACCACCATGTAACAATTAGTTTGCTTGTTTCTTATAATCTTCGATTTTCAAGCTATATTTCCTTGGATATAACTATATTTTGGTAAATTTAAAAATGAGCAAACATTTAAATGTGAAAATCATAAAAACAAATCTCGGCCAAGCTCGATCTGAAGAATTTTTGCGAGGGCGGACTTATTTGTTTTTTTTTTCGATGTTGTACGTGAAACATTTCATATTAAATTTAATAAGGCATTTAAAACTAGGCCACTTAATGAGAACTATTGTAATAATTTTGGATATTCAACAAGATTTTTATACCATCAGTTTCTATTTTAATTATTTTGCTCGGATTCATAAATCCTGTGGATTTAGCAAGCGGCTAGGGGAAATGGCTCGAAAAGGGTTTTTATTTTGACTATATGTTTTTAGTATTACTTCTACGTGAAGTCAACGATTTACATAGTTGAAGATGCTAATTTCAAATAACAGACTGTAGTGGTAATTTTTATACGATAGATGGAGTAGATGAAAGCATAGAGTTGATAGTTCCGTTAGAGTACGGCATGCTTTTCACCTCTGAGTTCGTATAAATTTTTAATCTGAATTGTCTTGGAGCTCTCCTCTAAGTTCTACTGAAAATTCACATGGAGTTCTTCTTAAAATTATCTGGCAATGCTTTCCAAGTAGTTCCTAGTCCAAAAAGTACCCAAGAAATTGTTCACAGGGCTACTTAAAAAAACACTGATCTCACACAATTGACTTGGAGCTCTAGTCATAACCCTCGTATAGTTCATCTCAAAACTCCCTAGAACTTTTTGTCCGAAGTACCTTGGTATCTCTAGAATCTATTCTAAAATCTCTTCAAAACTGCTTTGGAAAAAAGTTCTTTTGATAGTTCTTCAAAGTAACGGTATCCTAAAAATCTATTCCATTCCAAAAGTCTTGAGATTTTTTAAAGAGAGGAAGAAGCACTTTTTTTTTCAATTTGACATCGTAGTTCATGAGTTTATCCCGATGACATCGAATTTCCGGTATTTTCCGGTTATCCCGATTTCCTGATCACCCTGATTATTTAATTTTGCAGTTGAAACTAGACTCCTAAAAGGTGCGAAATCGCAATTAAAATTGTGCTTTGATGATGTATCGTCTTGGTTTCTTCTGCGTACGAATTTTACATTGCAATTCCAGTGGGAATGGCGAAAAAAGTGACTTTAGTGACTTTTTGTCGAAAATAGGGACTTTTTAGTGACCACCTTCCAAAAAGTGACAAAGTCACTAAAAAGTGATCCGCTATCAGCCCTGTATTACGGATACCAGCAGGATTCCACCCTGGCGGCAAATACCTAAAACAACTAGGCTCATGTTTTAGAATTCTAGCCGCAGTTATTCGGCGCGCAAAGAAGTTTGAACTCCTCCTTACTGGCTCACAGTGCGAGAGACATTCAAGAATCATCCGAGAAGTTAGCAAACTTTAAAGAACTTCACAAAGCCTCAGGAAACCTCAGAGAAGTCTAGGTTGGTCTAGTTACCAGAAACAAAATCTAGTTACAGAAAAAAATTGGCTAACATCAGAAGTCAAAAGAACCACGGAGAGACTATTTATGCAACAAGTTGTAAAAAGAAGCTTTTTTCAGCACAAGTCGTAATTTATCCAAGTTGGGTAATTTCGACGAGTACTGAAAAACAAATTTTGTAATTTTATATCAAAATCCAAAAATCGAAAAAAAATAATACATAGGGGAATTTACGTATTCTCGGCAATCTAAGCAGCTTCCGCACTTCTATTAGCTTTTTCTCAGTGTCACGCACACATATGACGTGTCTGTTTATTTACATTTATCTGCTGCTAGCTGTTCTATCCATTCCAATCGACAGAACTGTCCAAAACGGGAAGAAAACGTTTTTAAGGCGCTCCAAACTTCTCAAGTGAGTGTGACTATTGTCGGCAGCCTCTTTTACTTCGGCAACCTTTCCGTTTAAACTGCGTGTTAACCAGCTGTTCTATTATCGGCACCTTGAAATCAGCCGTATTTTGATGTGCTTATGTTTCTTTTGAAGAAACACCTAGCATAACAGGTTTGCTCAGTCGTAAAAATGTATTAGGATTGAAGCTGAAAGACTAAGGAATCGTTTAAATACATTCAGCGAAGTATTTTAGTGAGAAAATACATCGAAATTAACGTTTAAATTGTGGTTGCCGAAAACAGTCGATGGCTGCCGAAGCCATCATTTACCCTACTTCTAGTGATAACTTTTAGGCGGATTATTCAAAATACACAATAGTAAGCTTGTATTCAGTAGGTAGTAAGTGTGTGACTGAGTAATAAGTGCCTGAGTGGGTAGTGAGAAATGAGTGAGAAATTTTCCCGAGCCACGCCAGGGGTATTCAATTAATATTTCATATTTGTGAATTTCATTAAAAAAAAAATACTTCGCGGCATTTTGAGCTGACGAGCTGAATTGATTACGTAATTCATAAATTAAATTATTTTACGAAAATCCAACACAGCCCACAGCGTTCAGATTGGTCAGTGGTATGTGCATGCTTTAACAGGGATAATCCGTAACAAGCATAAACACAAATAAAATGAAAATAGAATTATGTCGGATGTGGCTGAAAATTCATGATGAATAACGATTGTCTCCGTGTTCTTTTTTGCTTCGGTTTCAGGCCAGCCTGTTCCATACGTTCACATTTTTCACCCAATGAAAATGGTTGTCAAAAGTGCAACAGGAAAAAAAAAGTCCTGGCTGACTTCATCGCTTATTGTGAATGCAAAAGCGTCGACAGGAGAACGTTGTTGCTGCTGATGGATTCCACCTGTTGGTTGGCAAGATTTTTTCCCCGGATAGTCCACAAATGGCTCAATTTGGCTTTCACTTTGTGACATCGAAAACAGCAGCATGACTACACATACACACACACATACAAAACAAGTGCGGTAAAGGATGCCGTACGATGTGTTAATCAAAATATTATAATAAATTTGAATTTTTGTTCCACAAATCATCCTGCGATCGCAATACGAAAAGTAAGAAAAAACTATCATGAATTTTCAATCAACCGGCTGGAACCACACGGCGCAGAGGAAAAGCCAGAGTGAGTGCGAGACTGTAATAAATCTTTCAGTAAATTTTATCTCCCTTCCAGCGCGGCAATTGAACGAACGAATGAACGCATGTTTCCGTTTTCCGTGCTCGAAATTGATCAGTCAATTGAATGAATAACCGCGCGCGCCTCGAACTAACAGTAAAAGCTAGAACTAGAGCCAGAGCGGATGTGGGTGAAAGGTTAGGAATCGATACGGGCAAACGATTATGCAAATTAATTGGCGGTTTTGCTAATCAAATCGGAATACTTTTTTGCGTGTTCTGACGCGCAATGCTAATATAGTTTGGTTTTTGATTTGTTAAATAGAGTGTATACGGCGAGGCGAGAGAATGAGAAAGCGAGGGATGAAGGTGGTTAGGAAAATGTATAATAGTAGCTACTGAAAAGGTGTGAGGGTAGAGTGCGAGAAGGTGGAAATGAGCTTTTGATATTCTAAGCATATAGAGCAATGGTTATTTATGTGCAGTGAATCTTTGTGCGCGAATGTGTTATTCGATGGTGGGTGTTTGTTTAAGAGAGATGATTTGAGGAACAAAACTAATTATTCGCATTAATGAACAATAAGCATGCTGCTGCTACACACGAGAGGAACCGCACTCTCGGGACGGTTGCAATTCTATTGTGTCTGTAATGAAGGGCAGTTTGGTCGAGGTCATTTTGGTTTTTGTAATACTAAACTCTATATGCAAAGAATTCAAAAGATACATAAAAGTACAATCAATCATGCGTACGAAAATCCATCCGGACAGCGATAATCAATCACAGTGAGTGAAGGGAAAGCATAGTTCACCACACAAACACATATCTACAAATAGCTATGTTTACTTGTTATGCTTAATGAAGAGATTGATGTCAATAATTAATAAACTAAATGAAATGGAATAGATACCGTAGTGGTTGCTGCTGCTGCTCCTAGGATCGTGGTGGCATCCAAATCTTGACCACCCGCTTCAACTGTTGTTGTGACAGTTTCATTCAGATCGGTCGTGATTATTATTGGCAGCATCTTGGCCAATTCGTCATCTTTCGGTTCACTGAAGGGGAGAATTGGCGTTACCGACGGCTGTGCGTCTGACAATGTTAGGCCGCTCGAACCGCTGACAATCATCGAGTGTCGGTAGAAGATGTTCTTCTTTTTTACTTTTGACGAGGAAGAGCTACTGGGATACGGAGGGGGAGCGATCGGTGTTTTGAAATCCACCTCGGTCTTGTCCGGATGCTTCGAATGTTCCGGAGTGCTGACGACACTCTTGTCCGTTTTGAATGTGCAGACCTTCTTCAAGCTGTCTAAATTGGCAGATGTGATCAAACCTTTATTTTTGATTGATTTCGGGGTTTCTTTCTTGCTACTTTTGGTGATCTTATCCCGAATGCTGCGCAACTTTTCCTTGACCGGTTTTTTGATCGATTCATTGAAAGTGGTTTCGATGGAAGCCATGGAGCTGATGGAAGAATTCGGATCAACTGAGTTTCTTCGGGAGCGAAGCATGGAGGCGATTGGTGTCTTGATTGCAGCAAAGCTCATACTTCTACGAAGGCCTCTCGTAATAGATCCCGTCCGGAGCAGTTTCGGCTTTTTGGCCGATCCGTATACTACACTCGTTGCAAATGAGTCAGTGGATATGATCGAAATATCATCGAAACTATCTTCCTGACGCTTTCGCTTCAGAGCATCTTTGTTGGCAATGATGTAATCGTCTACATCGTCCTCGTCGTCTTCATCTTCCTCGACTATCTTCTTCAGCGATTCATCAATGGCTCTGTTCACCTTCAAAATCGGTGAAATATTATTCGGATTGAGGAATTCATTCTCCTCTCCGGAAATCAGCACGACACCATCCATCTTTTCCGAGCTCTCCGGTGTCGAACTCGAATTTCTGGGAACTGAACTTTCAGCATTTTCATCAATGAATCTTATCGGAGAAACGTCCAACTGATTGTGCTGTTCGCAACCTTTGTTCAAATTGTTTTCATTCTCAGCTATACTCATATGATCCACTCGGCTGCCACTAGCACTGGTTTCGCTCTCCTCCGTTAATGCCGGCAAAGGATTCAACATGCCAACACCTTCCTCTGCCCCGTCGTCGTCTACTTGACACTCATTTAGTCGCCTAATGAATGCTTCCTGCTTCTCAACCAATTTTCCCTCCATGCGGGGAGTATTTGGCTCGTTCAAATTGCTATCTCCTCCACCTGGTGATGCCGGAGACGACGACGATGTTGACGATGAGCTGGTCTTATCTTTCGGGGAGGCTGCATTCGGTAGCAAAGCGTCGGCGAAATGCTCACCCGTATTGGACATGACCTGTGAAAGAGCGTGTGAATTGTGATACGATGGGTATGGGAGAATGTGGTTGTGAGTGTGTATGTGTGCACGTGCCACGGTTTGTAACTCTGATGTGTGCGTTCAGGTGTATTGATCTGTTATCTTGCGGTTGGCAGCTTTCCGCTGTCTTAGAGATATGCGAAATAAACGATGCCCATCTTCCGGTGCTCAGTGTATGCAATTAATACCAATATTAGTGGATGTAACTGGTGATTGGGAAAATTGTCAGACAGGTGATTGATGTGATTAATTAGTATTTATCTAGTAGGTACCAACACTAGCGCTGAATCGTAAGGTAAGGTTTTCTCTTTATAAAACTAATTCATATTTAAAATCTATCAATGATGATATCAGTTCAAGTTCAAGCGTTAAAAAGGCAAGGATTTTTTCACCAGTATGTGTAACTTTCCGAACAACCACCAACACCAAACACCAGCACCAGACTTGATGCTTCTTAGCACATATGGGCGTCACACAAGAAAAACGATTAATCAATTACAATCCTCTTAATCCCGACGGAAGGGTGTTGAGGTGAGTAAATTTCAATTAATGCCAACCAACTGCACTAACAACTCCCATGCACATGCACACATTTACAATCGACCCCACTCCCTCCACTCCCATGTAAAGGATCATCGATTATTAATTACAGTTCATATAATTCGTTAACGTGTGGCAGTACATCAAAAAGAAGGCTGAATAGGCTATACATCGTCCGATGCATCAGAAAATTGCCCCACACCGAACGGCCTTTACCCATCATTATCGACACAATAGAATTGATACGCGATGACTTGTTTTTGCCCTATCAACATTGCACATTGGATGGATATCGGATGGTTTGCTTATTATTTCAACTATTACATTACTTCCTAATAAATTCGTGGTTGATATAAGTAATGATATCAATCTAGCAAAATTATTTTCATCATTATGGATTTTAGCCCATGGTTTGAAATGTCGTTCCAATAAATTTAGCAAATAATTTCCCATAGGTTTTACGCCTTGCCGCTATAATACGCGTCGTTAATTTGAGTGAACATTATAAACCAATCATATTTTTATATGCATTAAAGACGGTGCATACAAAAAAGAAGAAACATTGTTCATGTTCTTCTCCTGAACGCAACAATGCATGTTCACCGAAAACATCACAATCATTAACAAGCCACTGCTACGACGAACATAATCCGATTGCGAAGAATTTATCGTCCGCCTCTGTTTTCGGTTCTCTTAATCCGTTAATGCAAACGTGGCGAACGTGGTTGGCGAATAAAAATTGCGATCCATCCCGCAGGATTAACCGAAACGAAAACCAGAAGGACAAAGAAAAAGAGCGAGAGAACGAAAATAAACAAACACTCACCACATGCGAACACTCCGGATCCTCCAGATCCGCTGGAATGCCTCCGTTCATTTTCAACACATCGACCATGTGCTGGTGCTCCTCCGGCGGAAAACCGAAGAAGCAAATCTTTTGCCCCTCGAATGCTTTCAAGCGATGGCTTTTGGTGAACTCTTCCACGTTGGCGACAAAGTTCGAATCGTTCCGGTTCTGCCACGCTTGCACGACCCAGCTCGGGCGGACCACCGCCAGTCGGAAGGTCATTGCATATCTGGAGGGGAAATTAGGGTACAGTTGATGATCAGCGATGGATTTAATGAAAATGCATATAATGACTGGCTATCAATACTTACTGATATTTTTCACCTCCGGTTGTATTGCAAATAAGGTGAGTCACCTTGGTGTTCATGTCCTTTCGGATTGATCCTCCCATCGAGTGAATGAGGTCTACGAGCCGGGTCTGAAAAATAGTAAAATTGGCGAATGTGGATTAGTATTGATTTTAACAACGGTGCATTTTAGATGATGATTAAAATTCATTTTTTTTCCTGTGTGTATGTGACCAGGAAGGCGGTTGGACCAGGGTTGTTAATCGGATTCGGATTATTTAATACTTTAGGTGAGTGAGAAGGTGTTGTGACTTTCACTCTTACTTTAAATTATGATTTTTACTTTTCTATGATAGTTTGTTGTGAAAACAATTGCATAACATTGTACTTTGACAGAAAGAGCATTTTATCCATTTTTGAGAGAATCAATTAAGGGAAAATTCATGCATTTAAGTGAGCAGCCATGGTTGAGCGCTGAAAAAAAGTTAATTCTACTAAGAAGGTGATTGCACATCTGGTCAGAATTGACAGCGGTAGAACGAATCAGGTGAGAAACTGAAGGAATATGAAAAACGTTCGCAACGAGTGCAAAATGGAAAATTATAGATTAAGGACTGAACTGAACTGATGGTCCCCATTTGGAATAATTTTAACTGATAATTCATAGCTTCTATAGTTTAAAGCTAGGAAGCAGATGATTTATCAGTTCTACTAAGCGACTGCATACCTGTTACAAATGAATATACTTGTACACGACTCAGCAATTAGCCACGGGTATGCTCAGTTCTCAATTTTTACATTGAAAGAACGAAGCACGTAGCTGTCGTCACCGCATCAAATTGATTTTAAGGTAAATTTTATTCATCTTACAGCAAATTCTCAGTTGTGTCTAAGTTTAAGACTGAACGAAATGATTAGTTTTGAAATAAGTCGATGATAAACGATGACATCCTATGTGAAACTCAGAACCTATTTAAATAATAGAATCAAGATTATTTCCCTGGTAGATTTTTTTTTTTGTTCTTTATTAGAGAGACTTTCAGCTGTTAGTTTTTTAAATTCCCGATTTTTTCCTGATTTTGCCCAGCTGGTTCAAAAGTTCGCCTAATTTTAATTAATTAGCCTTATGTGATTATGCCTACTATCTTTTCACATCTCTCGATTATGCTGGCATAGGCAATTTACTAGAATTTCACTATGGTAGGGTTAGTGTTCAATGAGGCGGCCTAAGTGTCCCTCATATTGTGTCCATACATAAAGTTCGAAGGAAAGCATTTTTTGTCATTTTTTAGAGGCAATCAAACATATCCATATGTATTGTCCCGATGACGCATTGTTCTTAGAAACCTTTAAAAACATGAGATTTTTATCGATAGGCCCATTCTGACGTTGAAAATAACCTAGCGTTTCAGCAATACATTCTAATGTGGCATTATTTCGCGCAGCGGCTAATTAAGCGGATTTCACCAACATTTTGTAGTCTATATTGTATTATAGGGTGTCCCAGCAGGATAAAAAAAAAACGATAACGAAACTCTGTTTACAGCTAATTCCATATTTAATTCGTATTCATGTTCTCTATAGTATTCTCTTACAGTTAAACGTAGAAAAACCGAGATCCGATCAGTTGTAAGACAAGGAGCGGATTTTTGATCGCACGCTACTCAGTAGCTTCAGCACTGATGCCATTCCAACAATTTTGAATACTTTATCCCAGTCTTTCGCAAACTTTGTAACGGAATCCGCTGCCTTTACACGTTTCGGCAAATATGCTTTGGTCAGAACCAAAAAAGTTTCGATTGGCCTGTCTTAGGGACCTTGTTGGCTTTATACCAGGCTTTCGTGTCGTTGGAGTAATGAACCGACGCCAATTCCGGCCAAAACAGTACTGAGGCGTCCGTCGTGTTTGCGGATCATGGGTAGTAGACGCTTGTTTAAACACTCACACACGAACACATCGGTTGTCATTGTCTTCGTTATCCGTTTGTGACCGGTTTGGAAAGCATCCCACACTCACAAATGGCTTGCCAAACCATAGCCTTTCTACCAAATTTTTCGGTCAAAATCAACCCTTCGGCCATCACGAACGGTGTAGTATTGATCACCAGGAAGAGGTTTGTAATCAAATTTAACGTATGATTCATCGTCCATAATCACGAACACCGATTTTCCGCACAGCAATTGGTCGTATAACTTCCGAGCCCTCGGTTTGACGGCTTCATTTTCACTCCGCTTTGGCATCTTCTGCTTCTTATACGTCATAAGACACATTCTTGCCTTAGCCCGCTGGACGTTACTCTTCGAGGATCCCACTTTTTTTAGCCACGTCTCAAACCGAAGCACTTTTCTTGCGAGTGAAAGCTTGCACGATTTTCCGGTCCAGATTTCGGTCAACAGGGTTCAGTTTACGTCCAGATTTTTGCTTGTCCTGGAAAGTTGCTTCATCACCATATTTTCGAATTGCGTTTCGAACGGCTCCGATGCTTACACCTTCCAATTTCGCTAATTACCTCAGAGATACCATTTGTGCACGATCTGTTTGCGCTTTTCCGGAGAAATGCCTCGCATTGTCACGGAAATGTAAAGAACTGACACGAAACGCAAACACGAAACTGTTGGTCGTAATGTAAACAATTATTCAGCATGATAATCAATGACAGGCAGGGGTGTTCTAAAATCGTGCTTAGACATTCTGGGACACCCTATATTTTCATTTTCATTTTGCAGCGTTTGGTGGGGCAATGGGAGCGCAAGTCAATCCAAAACCGAGGATAAAGGACGGGTAATGGCTGATTAGTCTATGCGGACCACTTGAACGCCATGGGAAAAGGAAGGGATTGAAGAGGCCGGTTATTGGGGGGTTTTGAGGAAATGACACATAGTGATGTTAAATGTAAAGAAACCGAAAATCCATCTCCCATCCTTTCACATATATACCAAATTGATATTTTAAAGCAATAATAAAAAAAAACAGACAATACATGAAAAGGCTAGTTGCCAGTTGCTTTAAAGGCTAGTTGCCTCCCTAAGCGGACCCTCCGCATCCTAACTCTTCTGTTAATCCACTTAATGCTACTAGGCTGTCTAAATTTTCTTATTTAAATTCGTTTGATGATTATGATATCTCTAGTCTAATTTAATAAATAATTGAAATCTCTAATCTACCTACCATGCTAACGAACGATACCTGGTTATATTTTCATATCAATTCACAATATCCACATTACACATTATTGTGAGATTTAGGACTTAGCTGCGTGAAATGATGTTACTTTACGGTAAATAGTCTCTCAATTTCAGAAATAAAAAAGGAAAATTTACTAAATAAAAATCCATGCATTTACATGCTATTTATTACATAGTACATTTGTATCGACGATAGACTACGCGCGAGAAGGGGGTCTAAAACCTCTCAAAAACGGTCTACGTAGTTTATGAACAGCCCCTTACAACCTTCAACAGCATAATTAGAAGACTGTTGTATTTCAGTTATTATTAACTTTATAATACCTCCACTAAACTTGAAGTTGCCCTACACAGTGAAATAGAATCCAAAACCGTTTCGAATATAAGAACAAAGCGTTCTTCAAACCATGTTTAAGTTAGTCAATCAATGGCATTCACTCCACTGAACACCGTATAATATGGCAGCAATCTTCAGAAGTCAATCATCATCATTCCACTCATTTTCCAGATTAGCTACCCCCAGGTCACTTTTACTATGACCTGCACTGGAACCGTCACCGGCCTCTAAACTCCCACATCCGCTCAACTCGTTCAGAAATCGCTGACATATAGCCCTTAATTGCATCAGCAATCCTATCTTTATTCATCGAGCGTCGCGCAAGACACTATACCTACCAAGAAATCCGGTCGACCTCTATTACCAAAATATGGCAATTTAGAGTGCCCGAGGTCATTTCCCTCTTCCTTTCGAAATTGCTCGGAAAAGATGTCACGTTTCAGTCCCTCGTTATGTATGTATGCGCCTTGTAGTGTGTATTTCCTTTCCGCAAATTACCGGCTCTTTCTTGTGTTAAAAAGAAAGCTGTTCTCGTTCCGTGCACTATGCGGTAGAATTTCCAGACTCTCCCACCAGAGTCTATATTATATGGGCATCGAGAGGGGACAAACGAGAAAGACATCATCATCATCATCGTCGTCGTTGCCCACCACGCTCTATTGAAGTATCACAACAGCTAACATCGAATCGGTTAGAGGCCACACGTGCTCGGAAGGAACAATTTCGAACTCCGGCGAAAGGCCGCGACCTGGACACACAATCAAACCGTTCCGAAGGGCATCACATCTAGAGATAATCAAGAGACAGCACACAATCTACTTCATCGATTGTCGAACGGAGCCTTCCTCAAACCAATAACGAACGGTCAACGGGTTTTCTCGGCAGTAAATGATTAGGATCCATTTTTCAATCTCCACTTCAAAGTGGAAACCAAAATTGCCAAATTACCGTAATACGACCCCCTCAAATGAGATGTAGATTGAAGGCTACCTCCTAATGGTCCACTATCATTAAGCTGTGTGTCTTAATTCAAAAAGGTTCCCGTAAAACCGTCAGAGGTGGGCTTTACATGGAAGTATGGGCACCTAATTGGATGTGGTTTTCCCTTGTGTAGCTAATAAATTAACTTACCAGCTCGTCCTTCTTGCGAATCCCGGTGAAACACGTAATGACGCCCCGCATGCAATAGTTGTAGATTGGACGGTTGTTGTGTGGGATTCCTTCACCGCTTCGTGCAGCCTGCTGCAGAGCCGGTGGACCAAGGATTCTGTGGATGAAACCAGAGGAGAACATGTTAGTCTTGTATCCTAAAGCAAGCTTTAAAATATTCAAAATCAAGCAAAATGTAGGTCACACGTACTATAAACTATACTTATAAAACTAAAAGTATTGCAAAGAATGCTATCATAATTTGAATTAGGTACCTGTAATCTCAGAAATCTGTATGATCTATCTATATTTCAAAAACAATTTTATTCTCTATTTGTATGTATTTTGTCTGACAAAAAGTAATGTATACACTGAAAAAAATAACAGATCATATTTAAAAATAATAAACCTAGGAAATCAAAATTACAAAACCTATTGTTTGTTTTTGAAAAATAAGACGATGGAAAGAATTTCATTCTACATTTTTGAATGCTTACTATCAATTTTTTGTTTGGAAGGATTGTTGGAAAACCAAAAAAAGGTAGTGGAAATGGATGTGGAAATGGCCCACACATAAATTCAGCAATCAACTAAATTTTGTAATAGCGTCCAAAAATATTCATTAGTACCGTCCCAATGACGCGTTCATCTAGATACAATTGATAAATAGCAGATTTTTAGCGATGGGCCCAATCTTAGATCCATAGGCCAACATTAGAGCCATTTTCCCTATATAAAAATAAAACCTAAATCCACCGATGGTGAAATCTGATCCTTCTTACTGTGAAAAAAATCTCTAAAAGTGTGCTCACATGATGTGATTTGGTAGATGAATTCTGATTTGATTTGAGGTACCGTAAAACGGGGTAACATTGATAGTTTTTTAAAGTATATTCTAAATATTTTTTACAGCAATGAATGTTTTTCAAATTTTATATTTTTAAAACAAGTACTGAGGATCCAAGAGTTAATTAGTTAGTAATATGTTGAACAAAAGTTGAGCATTTGCACTATTTTTTTGTTTTGTAACCGAACCTCAATATTTTGATTTGGGGTTACTTTGATAATGCTCGATGAATGTAGAAAAAAAAGTGAAACTCAAACAATTTAGTTCTTTAAATATGGAACTTTGAATGAGTATATAATCAGAAAACTTCATAAGCAATAAAAATACAACATTAAATTTGTGATGGCTGTGTCGGAAATACATTTCATAAGTGATAGTTTGAGTGCTTTTTCAAAAAGGCGAAAACACGAAAATGGTTTTTTAATATTTTTGTAAAATATGTAACACATACTATATAAAAATTATACACGATATCAACGGAAATACCCTAAGCTACAATATGGAACCAATGTTTCTTATTTGGAAAAAGCACAGCGAGTAAATTTATTCTTTATATTATACTATCAAAGTTACCCGCATTATCAAAGATACCCCGTTTTACGGTATCGTCTGATGGATTTTGATCCAAGTCAGAGACTGGTCACTTTCCAGGGGCTCCTAAAACATGGCCAGATGTGGCCAGTGTAGACTTGGGCCCTTCAAGTGGCTATCATTGAACTGGGTTTTGAACTTCTTTTCATTTGAGGTGTCACATGATGGGTTTTATTCGTTTTAATACGGATTTAGTCTCATGGCCCATACAAATCAAGTTGCGGCAATATCTCCGGACCAATTGACCTGTTCCAGAAATATTCAAAAGAGTTCTATAGGATTTTAGTAGCTTTCATTTGGTGGTTGTTGTGTCCAATTCGCAGAGCTGATAGCAGTGTTAAGCAATAAAAATATTGAATTAGCTACCAAAATCATTGAACAAAAGTTACCAATAAGTGACTTAAAAAATAACATAAAATTTTCGGAAATAAAATCATGAAAATTGATTTACCAGTCATAAACAAAGGCAAAAATCGATTTCCTATCTGTAAGCATTTGTCAAAAGTTTGTTTTGCAAGATCTTGTACAACTAGATTAACAACAAACAACACTATGTAACACTTTAACTTTAACAGAGATATTTTATCATATTTGAAATTCTTACAGTCTCCTGCATTAATGTTTAGAATAAATGAACAATTTGTTATAAGATCGCTCGCTAGACCCTGTCTTGGCTTTGGAGATTTGTTAAAATTCTGGGACTTCGATTATTTTCAAGGAAAATATGATGGATTTCTAATAAATTCCAGATTTAATTCTGAGAAAATCAGTCATAATTATACAGTGTGAGTTTGGGAAAATGTAATTTAAGGTAAAGTTTTAGTATACAAAATTAAAAAAAAAACATATTTAACAAAATACCTACGAAATAAGTTTCAATACCTTTCAATTTTTTTTTTATATTATTTTATTTGATAAGGCTCAACCGAATTAATTTTGCAGAGCAGAGGATTCTTGTTCACTATACAATACATCTTAAAACTATAGTCAAAAGGTACAACACAATAAACATTTTATCTTCCGCTATCCAATAAGCCTCCTCCACCAGAACGGGAGCCGTTTCCAGTGGTTTCATTGTATGGCAGATTCGCCAACGGGGGTCAGAACGCTTCCATTGCAGCAATGGACGCAAAACATGGTCAGCACTCGCACATTCATCACGAAACGGTTGCTTTCCAAAGTCGATGACGCACCGACCTAAAGAACTGCTGATGAAGAACAATGAGAAAGACCACACAATGGTTGCTGACGAGTAAACAGACGATCGCGTGACACACATTGAGAGTGGTCTGCTTCTGTCGACAGCCGAGTGAACACTGTATATCTTTCAAATAACATTTAAGGAATTAGAATTGGAAAATGGCAGAGATATTAACAAAAAACAAGTGCATCTCTAGAAATCATTTTATGATCTGTTTAAAGTTTTTTTGGAATTAAAAAACAAAAAATGTTCTTCAAAGTCACTTCTCTTGAAAATCTGGTCCAGTCCAAGTGTTTGGACATTTTTTAAAGAGAGTAAGAAGTACATTTTTTTCCAATTCGGCATCGAAGTTCACGGGTTTATACCGGCTTTTTCAGCTGTCATCGAATATCCGACATTTTTCGGTTTTCCCAGTTAAATGGTCACCCCAATTATTGTATTTTGCAGTTGAAACTGGACTCCTCAAAGGTGCGGAATCGCAAATAAAAGTTTACTTTGATAATTTATCGTCTTGATTTCTTTTTTTTTCCCTTTATTTAAGAGATTTTTAGCCATAGGCTAGTTCATCTCTTAGTCTTGGTTTCTTCTGCGTACTTTTTCGTTCGTTAGTTTAATGAACTTCCAACTAGGAACGAAGCATACTATAACACTTATAACACAGATTACTTATTTCTTGAACGAATTTTTCAGTCCTGAATTCGGATTAGTGGTTGTCGAGAAACACAAATTAGTTCCATAAATATGTGTATTTCCTATCTTCTTCCATCCATATCTACGGAACTATATGACCGATTCTATCAATAATCAAGTTGTTTTAATTTTCCTACGATCCCGAAAATCTGCAGAGACATGCTTTTTCAACTGTCTTTATGTTAATTACCAACAGTGTATAAGGGTTTTACAATAAATTCAATATATTGGTGTACAATTTCAATTTACTAGTTGTTTATTTTAAGGATATATTATAGTGGATATATTGTTAACGCAACAGACTGTTGTCTGTCATAAAATAAACTCACCATAAGGTGAATTGTGAATTTTACTTAGAACAATAGAGATTTCTATATATTTATCTATTCTACGATTTATTAACTTTTTTATCCGGGATGCCTATTGGATTCTGATAAAAACGCACATGGAAATCGGGTGAACTGATGATTTCATCTGAATGATTGATACAAAAATTTAGCGAACATTTAAAACACTGGCAAAACAGCTAGGAAACCCCTAGAATGAATATATTTTTTTTTCTATAAAATACTTTTGTTGTATGTTACTGGCAAACCTAAAATAGAGCCAGCTATAAACAAGCAATTCATGATACCCTAAAGGTTTTCATTTCCATTTCTTCTTTTGAAATTTTGCATTGCTTTCGATTACCAGAAGAAAACAAACATTATCACTTGTGAAGCAGCAGAGGAGAAAAAGATTTCCTTATTTTTACAAACTATTTAATCCTTGCACTCTCGTTCTATCTCGGTTATTAGAAGACCAGCTTGGCCGAGCAACCCATTCTAGATATGTATAACCACTCAATACAACAGGGTCTGCAAGCAAACCACAGCGATTCGTTTCGGTTTTGCAGGCCCGTTCTCCACCTACACACGTACACTTTTGCAGCGATAGTGATATAGCCACTAAGAATTTTCCATCTTCATCCTCAACATGGCTCCGAGGTCGAACTGGTGAATTTCTCACTTTAGCACTTCATTTGCCCAGCTGCCTTTTTCCTTCTGCTGTTTTCCCACCAGAGAACATTCTTGTGGTGTCAATGGGTTTCACTGCCGCACGAGCTATTTTCGATTCTGTGCAGTGAATTGAGTGAAATTAGAATGCTAGACTCAGAAAGCAGACGGAGCCATAGGGATAGGAATTCATATAGATGCATCGGCCCGAAACATTTAAATCGATATTTCATTTATAATTCAACGAGTAGCACTCAAAAATAATTTCTAAAATGAATCGTAAATTGTCGAGCTTTCACATGATAGTCAAGCTGATTACAAATTCAGTGCGGGCAACATGCAGTCTGACAACCTAATAAATTTTACCTCTTCCCACCGGTGTTTAATCCAAACACCCAAACGGCAGCTAAGCACCGTGTAATCCACTTGGCAACAATTGTGATTCAAACCTGGCGGACACCATTGTACCTGCAACCACCGAGCATCCTTCCGCATTCCGCTCAAACTCCCAAATTGATTTTCCCTTACAACGAGATAGAGCGACCGAGTCAGTAAGCAATAAATTCGCCAATAAAATAATCAACTGCACTCTGCAAAATCACTTAAACCACTTATCCGCCTGGCTGTATATATGTGAACATACATATATAGAGATACGTAGTAGTTGGCATAGATAGCATTGTCGGGCGTGAGGCACTTTTCAGCATGCATTGACTGTCGTTGGTGCTGAAATTTATGGTCAATACATGCCACACACTTACTCTCCATTGCCATCGTAGCAGTCAAAAGCGAAA